AGTTTCCAAGCTTTTAAAAGTTTTAAGAGGTCCAAAGCTTTTAAAACTTTCAAAACTTTTAAAACTTTCAAAACTTTTAAAAGTTTTAAAAGTTTTAAAAGTTTTAAAGGTTTTAAAAGTTTTAAAGGTTTTAAAAGTTTTAAATGTTTTAAAAGTTTCAAAACTTTGGGCCTTTTCAAAGTTTCAAAACTTTTTAAACTTTCAAAACTTTTTAAACTTTTAAAAGTTTTAAAACTTTAAAAGCTTTGGGCCTTTTAAAAGTTCTAAAAGCTTGGAAACGTTTAAAAGTTTGAAAACCTTGAAGACTTTTAAAGCTTTCAAAACTTTTAAAACCTTTAAAAGACGAAACGACACGAGGCCACGGGTCAAATAATACATAAAGGGTTCTCTTACACATATATCTACAATTTTGGAGGCTTGGTTGCCTGAACTCCCTCAATCGTCGCATTCAACTTCATTGAGCGGGTGTCGTTCGAAGGACACACTGAAATGTGTCGATAGCAGCTTTTGCAAAAAACCTTGCCTTAGGACCCCAGTCCAAAGGCATCTCTCACACGGGATATGGCTCGGAGTAACACCTGCAGCCGGAACCTCGAGGTTGTGGAGGAGCCGTCGCACTTGTGCCTCAGAGGCTCACCCCGTGCTGTTCTCCGAAGGCTCCTTGGCCATCTACAGACTTCGACGGCGCTTTGCAAGCACCTGTACCTGAGAGCCTCGCGATGTCATTCTTTGGAGCTTTGCTACCAGCTGTGGGCTTTAATCCTCAGTACACGCTGAGGATTCGCATGCCATGAGTTGAGGGCAAGCCATTGGGACAGTAAGCGCGCGAATATGCGCGAATGTGAAGGCAGTGCTCCTTGCATGCGGTGTTGCGTTAATTTGCGTAACAATGCGAACTGGTAGGCAAGCTACTATCCGGTCAAGTTTTGATCGAGAAATCGAGATCGCATGCGTCGTCATGAAACCCAAACCTGCGCTGAACGACGCATGGTATACTCTGAAACGTTTCTCTACCGTCCTTCTACCTCGTCGATGCCGATGCTAGTCAACCAGAAATCAAAAAAAAAACGGAAAGTTCCTCGGTGAACAAGAAACAGTCTTATGCGAGGCTGCTGTCTTCAGTTGTACAGATGTGCGCTGCGGCAGTGCTGCTTAACTCGGCTCTGTTATGCTGACCCGTTGCAGCAGGGGAGCAGCCTTCCGGGAATAAGGTGCCCCCACCCTGACGCTTAGATCCCTGATGTAGCAGGAGCAAGCGCCCCCAAAACTGGCTCGAGGGCTCCCGTGGACGAGGTCATGGAGGTGCTCGCGACGGACATTGAATTCGCCCGTCACAGGGCGCTTGGGAGGCTGCTCGATTTAGCTCTTTGGCAGGTGCCGGCGCCTGGGCGTGGGTGTGCCGGGCGGGTGCAGAAGTGCGCACCCCGCACCGGCACCGAGTTTTAGGGCGGTGTGCCCGGCCGGGCGCGTTCGCGCTGCGACCAAAGGGGCACTGCATCTTTAGTAGAATTTTGAGCTAACGCGTCGTCAGCGTGCGGGGAGTATGTTGCTTACAGATTTGGGTTTGGTCGAATGTCCAGCCCTCGGCGGCGGACCCTGCATGGAGTCGTCTCCCCTGGACGCGGCGTCGGAGAGGTTGTTAAGTAGAACTAGGATCCACCCCGCCGTACTTGGGGAGGGCATCGGACGACATGGCGACGGCGAAGACGGGCGAGGGGAGGCGAAAGAAGTCGAAATGGCGATTCGAGCCGCGAGCTGCGGTCGAACGCCTGAGTTTGTTCCTGCACACGTGAGCTATACAACAACTTCCACAAGCTCCAAAGGAGCTAGCTTTCGTGATTTGATGTTCCTGGGCCCTTCATAAGTCAGCTTCGAAGCAAGCGCAGAGAAAGAAGCAAGTTTCCGAGGAGACCACCCATGATTTGTTCGGTGACGGCTTGCGCAAGTCTTGCTTCCCTGCATGCAACCGGACAACCAACGTGCTGCAGACTCCTTTCATCTTGGCTCATCAACGCCGATGCCTAATGGATTGCGTCAATGACTCTGCGGCAGTTTTCAGCAATGCCTCAGGCAACGGTCAGCACAATCCAGACCTAAATTTGCATACTGCATGAAACTTCGCACTGAGCGCTCGAACATTTTTTGAATTGGAAGCTGTAGACTTCTTCTCATCTGGACAGGCTGGCCCAAGAAAACGGAACGTGCTGCTGCAGGCATGCTGACCCTTGCTCCCATCAAGAAAACCTCAACACTGCACGCTGCAAATGTGTGGTTTCTTGCGGGCGCTCTTTTCAAGCACGTTTCAGCACTTCACATCCAGTTCTACCAGGTGCAGTGAAACGACTGTTGTGCAACTTGCTTTCAGAGCAAGCAGCAGAAGACGGCCCCCTGAGGCATCCTAGATGCTCTGCGCCACTTTGCCCACGCTGTTCTTGTTGAATTCCGCGAGCTCGCAGGCAAGTCTGATGTCGAGTTCAGGCGGGTGGATCCACAGCATAGTGCAAGATACTCAAATCCAATGATGAAGTCGCCTCTTTCATCTTCAGCATTAGTTCCTCCGGCGCACCCTTCGCTCCGTTGACTGCTACAATTCGGTCATGGGCTTGAACAGCATGTTCTGGCCTTTCGTGATTCCACTGACTTAGCAGGCCAGCATTGATGTTCGAGATCCACGGGGCTGCAGAACCCACCTTCTTGTAGTTGAGGATGACGCCAATCTCGCCAGGTTTCTGCAACTTCACTTGTCTCTCGCAGGGCCTTTGTATTGTAATGGAGGTTGACTCCGACTCGGCTGCCAAAGCTTTCACCAAATCCGGAGCCCGACCCTTGGTGCCGTTCACCTCGACAATACGATCAAATACTTTTACGCGATTCTCCATGGTGATCTTGTTCCACTCTGCCACTGCACCATCCTGGGCGGCAATATCAGTCATGTGACACCAGAGTCGTAACTGTCATAATATGATAAGCTCTTAGACTCTTCGTCGGTCACAACCAGTGAACCTCTGCCTCTGCAATGACATTACTGAGCGCATGCAGACTTGCTGACAAGCATCTTTGATGGCCCTGACGAGAGCACAATCGGGATCTGTGCCATCTATCTGCAGCCCATGTGGCCCATCCTTCTGCCTCAAGATCACGGTAAAGATATCCAGCATGCGCGTCGCTGCTTCTTCGGTCTGCATTGCTGGAGTTGTCCTTGGCCCAAATAACAATTTCAGCCGGAGGAACCCTTCGTCTAAAACCTGTAACTGTAAGACTTTGCAAGACAAGAAACTTCACGAAAGTTTTTGCACTGGCTTGTGGATCCTGTTGGTCTTGCTCAGGAATCACAGGAGGAAGAATAATGCTGTTCTCCACTTTCTCGTCAGCAGCACAGCAGCAGAACATCATGTCTTCTCGTCTTCAACCCTATGTAACAAGCTAGCTCCGCAGGAATGAAGTGTGTGATGTCCTGCTCGTCTCTAGGTGCTGTGAAGACTGTGGTACTTCGCAGACCATGCACTTCATCGCGAAGATGCTTGCACGCATGCTATTCAAATCCCTGCCAGCTGCTGCTGGTTTTTGTTTGCAGCTTTGAGCATGGGCGGCAGGTTGAAAGAAGGCTCGCGCTCCAGCTCGGACGACATGAAGAACGCATTCGAAACTGAATTCGAAGCCATGATTCGACCACCGGCTGCACGAATCACTGACATCATATCCAGCATTTGCTAAAGGAAAACATGAACGACTGAAACCTCATACTTCATCGTCCCGCTTCGGAAGTCTGCCGGGCCTGTCGAGCTGGGTCCCAGCGAAGCAGGCTGCTTCACAAGCCCCAAAACTCCCGAACTGCGTTGCATCGTGCGTCATGCATCGGACTTCGACCGCTGACAAAATGCAGACCAAACTATGGATCTCATAAACCGCATGGTGTCACCAAAACATGCCGAAGCCTCAGCATATGCTTTGCAACACATCAATTTCTTTTCTCTTGGTAAGAGGGACAAAACATAACGTCGGTGCGATGACTGCAGTGAATAATAAGGGTACTGGCACATCGTGGCACTGGCTTGCGCTGGCATACCCAAGGCGATGGATGCGCTTTGGCGAGGTCCGCGTTCAAATGATTTCAGTGCTGGCCTTACCTCGGCCTGAATTCTTGGTTTAAGCTGCAGCGGAACCACAAGCTTCTGAGTCAATGAGTGTTGCATTTCGTTCTGTGTTGCAGTTGCACTGCGTCCTGCGCGTCAAATGTGTACGCTTGTTTCGCGTGTCTGCTTTGCCTCGCTGGCTCGCAGGCATTTCCTGAATTGACAGCCTCTGACGGCTATTCAAGGGACTAAACCTACCTGCCCAACACTTTCAGTGACGAGTGTGTGGGCTTTGGATGCAACACGCCCCGCCTAGGTGGTGTCGAGCCTGACAGACCAAGAACCGCCCAACGGCTTCCGGACACAAGCATGCCACCAAGTGAATGTAGATGTACGAAGCTTCTATGCCCTTCTACGTACGGTACACTGCCATTAACAAAGGTCTCGCAGTAGTGCACAGGAACGATCGGAATGCATGGCCTCTTGGAAGATTCGGCGACCTCAGTGCGTTGCAGACTCTCACAGGCTGCATCAAAACCTCTCCTGGTGTACCTCAGCGACGTCAGGGTCTGTCCCGGCTTGAAACTCGACAGAACTTTACACCCAGTCTCCGCCTTGAAAGCTGGCAACTTGTGGAGGCTTGAGGATCCGGCGAATGCCAGGCGTCCTGACCTCTGCACTTCTGAATTCCGGTCAGCTCTCCAGAAGGGAAAACGGTGCAGTCCAACTTGCACAAAGCAAGGCTCTTGAAGGATCTTCAAGGACTACGACTACGAACTACGAATTACCTGCACCATCTATCTGCTCATGTGCAGCCCAGCATCTACCGCAGCAGTTGGCGTACAATCGAGGGAGGTAGCATTGCTGCCTGCATGCGCATGCAAATCGGCAGCGCAACACACACACACACACACTACTGCAAAATTTCAAGCGGTCTTAACGTTACAAAGCACATCTTCGGCATCGTGACTTGCCGCTTTGAGGCACTATCAACAGAGAACTTGCCCTGGTTTCCGGGAGTTTCGAACAAACTTGCGCTGTCAAGATGTGCTCGAGCGCCTCACCTACGAAGGACCACCTGTGAATACCTGTAGCTGCGAAAGAAACACTCGAGTCTTCGGTCTCTCGCAGGCCCTACTGGAGGCTTGAGAGACCTGAATCATTAACCCCTTAGTTCAGACCCTTTGAGACCGCACAGGAGCAAAGACGCACCATCGATGTGACAAGTCGCATTTTCCATTACCTAGCACCAATGCATCCGTTGCTTAGAGCATCCATGCCAAACCAGGATGCAACCAATGCCCCAGCACATCTGTTAACGAAAGCATCCATGCACAAACTAAGGTAACGTCAGCGTCAGTGAGAGCAGTGCACCCGGTGATTACCCGTGGGTTACAAACGTCCATGCGCGAACCATGATGATGCCAATACCGCCAGTGCACCGGCTGGCATCCATGCCCAGACCATGACAACTCCATGCCAGCAGTACATCCGTTAACAGTCGTGATTTGCAGCATCCATGCAAAAATCATCATAACATCCACGCCAACAGCGCATCCCGTGGTTGGGGCATCCGCGTAGAACATCTTTCCAAGGACCCCCACCACCCGCTTAGGCACGGCCTCCGCTTCTGTAAAAACCGCTTCCACCACCTTTTAAAAGCAACCGTATAGAGAAGATCGCTTCACGTCCTCACAGAGAAGGCTTTTAGCCATCGGAAAGAGACGAGTCGCCTTGGCGTGACGGCGGCCGCGGCTTGGAGACAAAGCCTCTCTGCACCGCCAGAGGCAGCTCAAGGCAAGTAAAAGCTTCCATGGAACTCCTCAGCTCCTCCCTCGGCTCTCTAGAACTTAATCCACAAACGTCGCTTCTAAGCACTTCGAAGGTGAGCGCCTTTCACAAGTCCCTTTGCCATGGCTCATGGCTTCGCTCCGGCAACCGGCGAGAAAAGCAGCCTGCGAAGCCTCAACCTCTCGTGACCCTCACTGAGATGTGCCACTCCTTTGAATATCGAGCCTGGAGCCATAGTCGCTGAAGCATCTGGAATTCCGGTTTGGCTTGACAGTTTCTGCATTCTCAGTTCGGACTGGCAAGGCTTTCCTGAGCCTGTAGCACTTCTCCGCCCTGCATCTACCTCTGTACAGGTCAAACTCCAGCACTTTTTGGAAGGCTGCCATGCATCGGAGGAGAGGCGACTTTGTCTATGTCGGCAAGGATGATCTGTCACTCTTGAGTCAGAGTGCTTGACGCTAAATCGCACCCTGGCCCCCTTTTACACTGTAGCATTTCACAACTTGGGTTTGATACTGCGACAATTTTCAGACATTCGAATGACAAAGCTACTAGTGATGGCACATGACCTGGGACATGCCATGAACAACTCAGGCTAAGTAAGGCAATGTACAGCCGCCGGTGGTCTCAGTTCTCTCTGCAGACCAGGCGTCGCGCTGAGTTCGCTTTGCCTGCTGCAGGGAACCAGTTCGATGCCAAGGTAACGTCTGGTGACTCCCACGGCGGCAGGTGCCTTCTTCTGCATCATTGAAGTACAGGTCATTGTCAGGTACGCGAAACACGCAACCCCGAGGGTCGTTCCTTAGCTTCACTTCTGGGTTCTGACCTCTATGTCTATGACCATCAGAAAAAATTCGCTTGTCTTTCGGATGGTCGATGTCGAAGTGCTCTTGGTAGATCTCGTCTTCGTACGCTAGCCTTTGTTTTACTCAGACAGGCTGTGAACTGCAGAAGGTTGCGGGAGGAGACTGCTCGCAGCTCGCACTTTTGCTGAGACACGTCCGTTGTAGCCTTGCAGCAGCTGCTTTGCATTCACCTACCTAGCACTCCAAGAGGCAGGCAGGTCAAGTGTCAGCCACTGCATGTTCAAGCGCTACGAGACAGGACGCCATGAAGAATGAAGATGCGCGTGGTGCCCATTGGGATCTCCACCGCTCCGCTTCAGACCCAACGACTGCGCTGTAGAATGGCTGCCAAGCTACAGACTCCAGGCTCTTGGTACCAGCCGGGCAGCCTGCGGTGGGCTGCTCCAGCAACAGGTACTTTGCCTTCCAATCTCGGGCACAATGGAGGCTCATGAATCAAAACACCTGCACATACTTGTCCAAAGCATCACGACATGTGACCCACGCATTACCGCCATGAACGGAACACGGGAATCGACCGACACAGAAGAAACAACAATGCCGACAACAAGAGTGCCAGGATCAGGGACTCCAGACTGTAGGCAACTTGGGATTACTGTTTTCGCGTTGAAGTGTCTTTTGTGAGGAGAGTTCGCAAGCCATCGATCATCGTTCGTCTTGGCAGCTGACATTCTTCCGCATTCCGTTAGCTACATGTTGACGCAGGGACATTAGAACGATCGGACATGCCACTACTCAACGTGCACATGTACCTGGGCCACCACTGGAACCTGCAGCACTAAGTACCGGAAACATGTATGCAACGCGAATACAGGTATCAGTCAAGTGGCCAAAGCCGAGGCGCAAGAACGACATAAAGCACATCGCGATGCATGGGTCACGAGTCCAAGTTTGCTTTCTTCTGCGCGATGGATTACGATCCGGACGGCCGCCGGCTCATGACACTTGGGAGCTCGTGTGGACGACGTAACTTCTGGGAGAAGGGTTGGGCTGTCACCGCAAATGATGCCAGCCAGACCGACCGCACCTTCTGGGCAAGCGGCTATGGCTGGATGTGAAGGTTTCCTAGCACAAGCTAAACATCTTGGGCCCGGCTTTGCATGGCTGAATTGTGGATCTTGGCCCTCGCAGACTCGCAGTGAGGGAAAAGTGGACAAGTGACATCCCCCAGACTGGGTGAATCGGAAAAGGGCAATGGTACGGGAAAGGAGAACACGAAAAAAACATTTAAGCAGTTCGCCCACACGCAAAATACCTGCATGGGCCACGACTGCGCATGTTCTCTAGAGGGAGACAGGGATGCATGATGCGGGGAACCAGTTCGGAGTAGGGTTTGCAGTGACTTTATCTTCACCGCCCTTCTGTGCCGAAGTGCCCCGCACCACCGAACAAAATGCAGGTTTGCCAAACTCAGCACAGGTCTCGGGTCTTTTAAATGTGGTGCCATGGTACCAACCCACATACAAAATCAGGCAGCCGAAGTACAAGATCAGGTTCCCGTGCATGCGCATCTGACCGCGGAACGTGTATGAGGCTCGAGTCTTTGTCTTGCAAAATGCCACATGTCAATGTCAAGAAGTTGCGGAGCTTATCCGTGCAACGGATAATCGAATCCGTGTGCTTGAGAGACCCAACAATGCGCCGACGAGGACCCCGCTGAAAAAAGAGCTGGCCGACTTTGAAGCTTTTGCCGAACCCCCGACTACCAGGGACTACCACTCCTCCTGCGGTGATCTCCTCTGGCTTTCGAATCGAACAAGGCCACATCTATGTTGTAATCTTTGCAGGTTGTCGAAGATACTTGCAAGTGTCCATGCATGGGGAAAAGGTCAACAAACCTTAGGTCACCTGCGCCGCCATTCCGGAAAAAGCTTGGCGTATGGGGCTCCACCACAGGGCAATCTTGCCACCGCGTTCGATGTCCGTGCAAGATGGCGCCAAGCTGATCGGTCCCACTGATGCAGCATCACCTCTTTATTGATGGAGCCTTGATGAGCTTGATGACTTGGCGCATGTGCGCGAAAGCTTTATCACTCAGCCCACCAGTGACTATGACTTGGTGGCCCTGGCCGAGGGTCTGATCTCATTCGTGACTGTGACTTCAAGCCGGCGCCATGTTGTTCGCATGCTGTGGCATCTAGCTGGCGAAGAGCTGTTGGCAGACGTCGGGAAACATGGGTTGAGCTTCTGCTTTAGTTTTTTTTGTTTTTTTGGCGGCACCCACGTGACCGTCAAATCCCTCTCGACAGCCGGAGCTCGGACGTCTGATGGCCTCAACCAATGCCGACAGTAGGTTTTGCTGCCGAGCTTGTCTTCAGAAAGAGCTACTAGCGGTTACTAGCGGTTTCAGAGTTTTCAGCATTAACGTTTTGGGACACGGTGTTTTGGGGTTGAAGGCTCAAAGTTCGGGGTTTAGTGGGTGGTTTAGTGTCGAGGAGTCTAAATTTTCCAACAGCCCCAGACTCTAATCCCCCGGTAAAGCTTGAACTGCACCACCGCCTTGTGACTTTGCTTCAGGGTTCCTTGGAGGATTGGATTGCTAGAAGGGCTCCACAAACTAAGGTTAGCACGATGCGGTTTTTTCCCCACCCGCTGACTATGTCGCACCGCGGGCATCCCGAGAGACGCGGTCGAGTTGTGTCTGAGTTCGGGTCCACGGTTCCGGGTTTAGCATGTAATTATCAAACTGAAGAGTTAGTACAAGAGCTTGGGTTTCGCATTGAAGTTCTGTGAGAGTGAACGGCAGTGAATGTCAAAGGTTTTGCCTAGAAGCCGACAGCCAAAGCCTGAACCTCGAGTTCGCGAGTATTGCCTTAAATGGAGCAGTGCAAGTTTGAAAGTTTGGTGTGCTTTTTTTGCTGGAAGGGGTTCGGGGACTGCAGCTGAAACGGCGGCGCACCGTACCAATCCGCCCCCGCCCTTCCACCCCCCAGACCAAAAGAAAGGACGGCCGGCTCCTGGAGTTGAAGCCGAGATTTTGTCTCCAATTCCATAGGTGCTTGCCGCCAGGTTCAGGGTGTCTCTCCGTTGGTATAGGAGATCTCCGAGTCGTCTTTCAACGTTCTGCGCATGTCTGGCTTGGGGTTGGCTGCGGAGTGTCTGCAGGCCTTGGAGGTGTGGTTCTTACTTGCCGAACCTGGCCTCACCCGACACCGTTTCTACTAGTAGGAATCTCTCTGGCCGTCCTGGCTGAAGGACTCTGTAACGGCATTGGTGTGCCAATGGAAAGAATGAGGCTTCTGAAGCAAGCGTGTCGATCGGAGGAATTGCCTCCGTTGAGGATGGACTGATAACCCGTTGCTGTAACGATCTGCTTGCCATGATACCACCTGCAAGACCAAAGCCTCTGCAAAAGGAGAACATGAAACAATTCGCGCTGCGTGGCTCAAGAGAAACTTGGGAACTGCCTGCGTTGGCTGACAACTTGTCAATTAGCTTTTGGGTCGTCCTGGTGCTCTCGCTTCCATTCTCGCTTTAATTGCGCGATTTTGAGCCTCTGAATCCGTGTTCCTAAGCCGAAATAGGTGTGGCCTGGAGCCCTGGTTCCTGACTGTTGCCCCGGCCACCGTCGTAGTCACTGCAGGGGTGCTGCAAGGCCAGCCCTGCGGCGTCAATGCAAAACTGTCACTTCGCCGCGCCTGCGGATCTATAGTTGGAGTCGGACCTGCAACTTCCAAACCTTGGCTCACGAAAAAGCTTCATCAGAAGCCAACAATAACCACACAAGGCCTGAAGCCTGAAATCAGATCTCCAGCAGGCCTCGACCACGCATTCGTCCGACCTCGCAAAGCCAGTCCAGATTGCCTGCCGAAGGGTGGGCCTTCTTGGATGTATGGAACTTCGCTTCCATCACAGTTCAAGCTGCAAGGCATCGATGCAGCTTCGTCGCACGGCTTTGTATCCATCTCCGGATGGTGCCTGCTCGGCATGGGTATGTATGGACGTATGGAGAGAGAGATATACAAATATATATATATATATATATGAACAGATACAGGCAGCACCCCCCTCCCCGTTGGTTTCCGGGCCCCCTCCAATGGACCGGCCCCTCCCTGCCCACTTTTTTGTACGTCCCCATGTCGCAATACATCACCCTCCCCTTCCAAGAGGCTTTCTGTAGGGCAGGCTGTGGGACTGCCTCCCTTGCCGAAACCCTGCCCCCCAAGCCACACCCAGAAGAGCGCACTGAAGGGGACCCTACGCGAGCGACCTGCTGCCAACGAAGGGGGCATTTATGATTACCAGCGCACAAAACGCTCACATCTCCAATTTAGGTGGTCCTAAACCAGAGCTCTTGCAAGACCCAGCGCCCATGAACGACAAGAGTTGCTGCATACGGTCTCACACGATCTGACATCACCACCTCTTCAGCAGCTTCTCCGAAAGCTGGAACGGAATAGTGTTTGTGCACTTCGCCTGCAGACTGCAGCGTCGACACGAGGGATACAAGCCTTAAACATCCTTAAACATGGGCTGGCGGGGTGCAGAGCCCCAGAGCTGAATGTACCGAGTCGAGTTGTAGCAGACTTGGCAGACAGATGAAGAATATGGACCAGAGGTCATATGATACCTGAGCTGCGGCCGAAACGCGAACCCAGTGCAGCTGCTGCCCAATCACTCTCTAAAAGCAGCAAGCATGGCTTCGAGATTTCGGGAGTCGCCTCGGTGGAGTAGACTCGCCTTTAAGCTTGTTTAACCTAAGACGGGGCCCAAGCAAGGTTCCCCATGACCGTGTGCGATTTCATGCGGAGCTGGTGGTAAATTGGTAGATGATATGACGATACAACCCGCGCATGCACCGTCGGGGGCAATGGTAGAAGAGTGAAATGACCGTCTCGAGAATGAAAGAACCAACACTGGCATGATCTGGCAGGTAGTCCACATCGAGGGCAAGCACAGCCTGCTCAGAGGCCTGACGCTGAATCGGAAATCAGTACTGCATCCAAGCCACCCACCACTCTTAAAGAGCCTCTCGTCCTTAGTCACCCTCCGCTTCCGCTGCTTCTTGCTGTCACTGTATGACGACGACGCCATACAAACGAAAGCCGCGTGTCAAGCACTCTGCTAATTCCACATCTGGGCGGATCTTCACAGCACAGCAGACTCTAACGCCCGGTTTTCAAAACGTCAATTAAACTTGCTCAAGAACTGCGTGCCATGCCGTAGGGCGCACGCAGGCTGTAAAGCAATGACAACATGGCCGTGCAAATCTGCAGGGGAAGCGACGGCCTTTGCAACTTTGAGGTTGTAGGTGGGTTTGCCCCCGGGATAGCAAGAGCAGTAGTGGCGGAATGCCGCATCTTTGGCTCCAGTCAAGGGCTCGTCAGGATGCTTGTCCATCCTGGCCAGCTACATCTAATGCCCCTGTCAACTGCTCCAGTCGTGCCACCCTAGTGGCCCTAGTGCCCTAGTCCACTATGAGCGGGTCCGAACTTAAGATCAGTGGCTGTGCAGTCTCCTCCCAAGGTTCGATTCTCCAGCCCCGAGCTGCAAATGCATACCTCAGGTGCCGGCTTCAACTGCCGCACAAAACCAGTTCTTGCTCTTATTACCCATCATTGAAGCAAGGTGCTGCATTGCAAAATCGGATGAAAATATCTCTTTGCTCAATCTGTCACCTTCTGCCAAAGTATCCGTTGATTGAATATGGAGTTACACGCTGCTGTATGCCGTTGAAGCTGGCGCCTAGATAGTTCCAGTCCAGCTTCATCATGCTCTCATCGGACAAAGCATCCTCGGACTAACCAGATCACTCTCATTCCAAACTGCAGTTTCGTGATGACGACTCGCATTCTGCCTTCCTCCCAGTATCTCCCTAGTGACTATAGTGATACCGGGCAGAGCACAAGCCATGAAGTCAGCAACCAGAGCTGCCACAACGCGAATCAAGCTGCCAGCACTGCCTCACGCCGAAAGTACGCCTGGGCATCTTGTGGTAGCCGGTCTGTGCAGCTACGCTCATGACTCATGCACCATACTCGGAACGCGGGAGCATTAATGGCCTCTCACTGCTTCCGAGGGACGCCTCCGCACAGCCCTGAAGACATGCTCTTCCTTGGCTGGGTGCGAACGGTTGACTGGGTGACTTGCAATCTGGAGGGCACAACAAACAAACGGCTAAGCACGGGCTCGCATTCGAAATCACTCAGACACCCATAAGGCTCATTTTTCTGTGCGCATCATCAGCACCAGAAGCCATTACTGCAAGCGTAGCCAGCCAAAGAATGTGTGCTGCAAACTGTGCATGGCCTGCCATGGCCATGGAGCCAGTGAAAAGCTGTGCACTGGGTCTGACACGCGACAATAAAGTGTTCTTCGGGAAACTGAGAACTGGCTCCCGAAGGGTCCCGGCAACGGTCTGTAACCATGTGTGCCAAGGCATGGCGCGCACCTAGCCTCCTCCTTCATGCCACGTGCACATACATACTTCCACAACATCACCTGCACATCCTGAAACCGTGGACAAAGTGCTGCGTCCACTTGAAACCAGGACTTCGTTGTTGCGCCATCTTCTCCTTAGCACGTGTCATAGTTCAGAGTATGGATGCGAGCGTCTGAGAGCCAAGCGACCACATACCGCACCAAACCGAAGCTGCGGCCCTGCCTTAGTCGGCAGCCACAGCACATGCGGCTCAAAGCAGGAATCTTTCTTTGCAGGCGTGGTGCACCAGCAAGCCTCCAAGGTCAGCCCCAGGGGGCCGTTTCGGGTATCCATGACTGCACAGCAGGGAGACATGTTGAGGCTCTTGGAAATGTGCCTTGCAGCCCGGTAACATGGTATTGTCAGGTTCCAACATGACGATGTACTTCACGGCCAAACCTGAGCATGGTAGCACTTTACGAAGGGCTCTCTTACGAATGCTCTGAAATGAATTCTGGTGCTCAGGCGGTGTCGCGATCCGCTAGTTTGGCAGCACCAGGCCGAAGCCCAGTGCTACTCCTTTCACTCCGCGGAAGAGTGAAAACCCTTCCGGACGTGAGAGTCATGCATCGGGAGGCAGAGGGAGAATTGGGACCCGGCAGATCACAGAGGCGTTTGGCTCCAGTGCTCTGAAATGGCTCTGTCGCTCGGAGGCGAGCCTTTAGAGTTTGCACCCGGAGCCTGGTTAGCACGGGCGGCTACACTGCCTTCTGTGATCCGTGGCGTCTACACGAAAGACAACCACGACAACGACGATGACCACGACCACGACCGCAACACCTTCCCTTTCGACCGGCACTTTCGTGCTCATCGCCGGATGTACGCAAACGTGATACCGTGATGCGGTAGCCTCATTACGTTGGTCAATGGTCAATGTGCAGCACCCACCGACTTGAAACAAGCAGGCCCATGACGGGCGGAGGAGCTTGCTGGAGCTGCAAAAATGTTTTGTTTCACAGCATCTGGTTTGTCTTCAGGTTCTAAATGCTATGATATGCTAGTGTTCTCTTGCTCGGAAGGCTACAACTTCTGCAAGATAAAGCGAAGACTGGTGCAGCTGTGCCCTGCTATTGTTCAGGGAAACACATTTGTCTCTCATTGCTGATGTGATCACCTCTCGGGTTGCTCAAAGAGCGAAGAAACATGTGCAGCCCCTGCTTTGGTGCCAGTAGAATACTCTCATTGCTTCAGTTTCGCTCTCCGAGTTGCTCATGCAGTGTGTGGTTTCTCCTTGGTTTCTGTCGTTATTATCTGATTTCCCCCACCCCCCACCCACCACGAGTTCCCCACTCACGCAGATGGACATCGTGGACCAAAAGGATCTGTCTGGCAGATCACTCCACATGGGAAACGTGGGCCCCGGGGGCAGCTGAAAGCCCTTCCCCCATCAAGATAAGATGCGTATGCACGTACACATAGCACCGGCAGCACGGCTACGGACAAGGTTGTTTTTTTTCGCTCAGCCAGTGTGGTTGCTAAGATTCTAGCAGTATGCCCTTGTTGTGTGGAACAATGCTTTCGCCCTCAAGTGGGGGGGACAACCTTACTAAGGGACCCAGCCTTTCACCAATATCACCCGAGCAACACGGGACCCGTCGACAGAACCGTTGCAATGAGCTTCTAGCTCTCAAGCGAGGAGCTGTTGGCTGCATCCCAAAGTCTGCGAAAAAATGGCCAAGGATGCCAGCGATCGTTCCTTATGGCGGCTCTGAGATCTGAGATGCCGTCTTGCTCAGCCCCAACCCCAACCAAAAGCAACGCACACCGCACATTACACATTAATTATCTTAAAACGACATGGAAGCTCAAGGATCCCTTGCATGTGCCTTGGCCTGAGACTCCTGAAACGCCTCCGATTCCAAACTCCGGCAGTCATGTCAAGCGTCGCCGGTGGGCAGAGCACAAACGTGCAGCCCTCCTGGCAGAACTCTCCCTGACTGCAGGACGTGTATCCCAACAGGCAGGAAAGCAGCCAAATTCATGTTTGGCTTTGCAGCCGAGCTGGAAAACCTTGCAGCCCCTGCAAGTTCGTCCAGCCCACCTCATTTATGATCCTGTGTGTTGGCTCTCAGGGGTTGCAAAAGAGACTGCATAACCCCATGAGACCGAAACGACAACATCGAAATTGCAGTTTCCTCCCAACGGAGCTGCACGTACGTCGCTAGAAGGCCCTGGGATCTGGGATGCCAATGACCAAATTCCGTTTGCCCTGATTGGTGCAGAAGGCACCCTGGCTTACTGTGAAGGTGGCACTCCAGAAACAACGAAGACAGTGGTCACTGACGAATGAAACGGAAGCCGGCAAAACTTCTTTAATCGCGATTTCAGTCTGACCTCCTTGCACAGGGTCGTGAAGTCCAAACCGCCGTCGCTCATCACATAGATTCTTGGCAAGCACCGAGCGGCATTTCGTCTGAACACCGGAACACTCTCGATCAATCGTGGGTGAGATGCACATGACTTCTTGTCTTGCCATGGGGAAGTGCTGTACGCGAAAGAAGTACTGTGATGCAGTGAAGCAACGGTGCGTCCAAAAAGAACTTTTTCACTTGCCGGACCTGAGAGCATGTCTGCATAGTGGCATAGTGAGTGCTGTATACTTTGCTTTCGCTCAGATTTTACAAGGATAAGGCTGGTTGCCTGGTAGATTACTGCAGCTGGATCTGCATAGACGTGCAGGTAGAAGCCATACCTGAGCACATGTGAAACATCAAAGCTCAGAGCCTGATGATGGCTTGTACCCAGCCGCAAGTGCAATCTCAAGACTTCAAGCTATTGATGCAGAGGTTTGCATCGCGTAGTCTCGTGCAGCCTTTGTGAAACTTGGTGGTGACGTGAAGACTCTTCGAGCAAGCCGCAGCTGTAGCTGCGACACAGAAGAGTGCTTGACAAAGGGAAATCCAGCGCCACATGTTGTGAGCGCGGATTCGGCAATCTCCCGACTGACAAATGTGACACCCCAACCATTGGATCTAAAAGTCTGTCCACAGCTTGTTTACGACACTGTTGCGGCGTGAAGCTTGACTTTGTGCAGCCTGCCCCTGGATCTCCAACAATTGGTCTTCGATAGATGCCAAAGACGTCATAGAAAACGTTGAAATTGAAGTGGTTTGTCCCCAGTGGCGGGAAGACCGGCGCTCATTCTGATCGTGGCCGGACAAATGATCTTGAAGAACTTGCTCCGCGACAGCAAAGGATTGCTTCAGCGCCAGATCAGTAGCTTTAGACAATGAGCTTTCCAGAGCAAACATGGTCTCCCGTAGCGCATTTCTGAGATAACCATCAGATCCAGGCGCCTGCGCAGATTCCAACCCTGCAGAATGCGCACCGGCATGTCTACGCACTTCGCCTGCTGAGCATCTTGAAGACTTCCGTGTACTGTCGTGAGGCTGTTCTAGGTTTTGGCCGTCAGGGAATCCATCCAAGTCAAACAGATCCGATTCATCGTCCGGAGCCACCTGCGCGTGTGGCTCGAAAAATTCAGTTGGCTTTGTGGAAGAGCCCGGAGAAGCGGGCTTGGCTGCACGAGAATCGAGGTCCATACCTCTCAGTGTCTCGGACAACTCCTCGATCCTTTGATTCATGACGGCAAAACCTCAGCCAAGAATGGCAACATAACAGATTCGGCGACAGGTTTGGGCTGCTGACCACATGATAGGATAAACATTTTCGATTCTGACACACGGCAGGGTCAGAAGAACCAGACAGAAAACACAAGCACAAATGAATGCAAATTATTGGGCTCAGGCTGGAGGAATCACGAACCAAGCTTCGCAAAATTATACCCAATAAAACCGAACACAAGAAGCGCATGCCTGAAGCATGCTAAAGAAAATGTCCTGCGTTCTACGGGCACGCATGTACTGCGATTCCGATGACGCAGAGGCAGTACAGCATCAAGCGTGACAGGGCTGAGCTTTCCATGCGCCGCATATGCCAAACCTGAAAACAGCGGCATGTTCGTTCGCAGCCTCGGGTCTCCTACATGTACGCATCTTGCAAGCTTTTAGTCATACAACTTGACGAACTTTACGAAACTTGTCAGGCCCCGCGTGTGTCACGAAGCAGATCTCCGCTCATCTGCAAAGCCGCCGCTCCGGTCAGGCACTGAAAGACTGTGTGCAGAGTGCACGGAGGGGCCCGAGGGTTCTAGGGCCGGCATCAGCAGCGGACGCCCTGCCCGCCCGGCAGGCCGGCCGCGGGTCCCTAGCGCCCCAGGCGGCTTAGACTCCCAGCCTCAACAGCTTGGAATGACAAAAGGCCCTCATGGTGAAATCTCATCCACCCACCTTCCTCATGGAATGCAGATCCAAGACTCACATCCTGAACACTGAACAGGTGGAGAGGACCTAGCAAGAACTGCGAGGAATGAGAACCAGATGTTGAGAGCCAGTAAAACTGCAGGCAGACCCCGCTACTTTCATACAATCAGAGGCCAGTAGCAAAACGTCAAACAACCTGACATACTCAAGTGTGCATGCCAAGCAATGTCAAAGCTTGTTGCAGGTTGGTGAAACTTGGAAATGCGAAACACATAGATTGCTGAGCGAGAACCTTTTGCGGCCCCCTTTGCCGCTGCGATCAAGTTTGGGGGCCGATGCGGCGACACATCGCGAGAGTGTGTCGATGCTTGTCAGGCCCTGACAGGCTTCAGCTTCAACAGTGGTGTCTGCACGAGCGTGCGGACGGTTTGAGCTCCGTCAAGGGATCAAAGCCAACGGTACTGACATCGGTGCTTCTCCACCTCTTCCAACACAGGAAACGCCTTGCAACTAGCTTGCAGGAGCACAAGTTATTAACCCAACAGTGAGGACCAATCAACCGCATGGAGAGCTGAAGCTACATCATCCACGTCGTCACCGAGAGAGGCAAAAAGTCAAAATGCGTTCTGAGAAGCCGTATTGCGACATCTTTAAAAGCTCTTCCTGCGTCTGCATAGTTTGCCTCAGCTTTTTCGGACATGTGAGAACACTGTTGAGAGCACGTCGCCAGAATTGAGGCTCCAACGGCGGCAACGAAACACTCACCATCTTGAATCTCTATGATGCTGAAGCAAAGATGCTGAAGATTGTACTTGATGAAGCGCGGTGCAGTCCTCGGATTTGGGCCTTTGGCCCGATGAACGAAAGTGACTCGTCAGCATCTGTCGACGTCAGAAACTTGCTCTCACTTAGAGTCGTAGAGAAGTACGTGCCCAAAGCCTCTGCTACGACAGCGTGGCGTTTTCTCTTGACCGAGACCAAGCCAGGGCGGGTAAGGACAGTCTGCAAGCCACGGCAGCAGCAGAACCAGAGAAAACGCATGCAACAACACAAAATACCTTTCAGACGAAAATTCGGCCTTAATACAGGCATGCGGCTTCGAGTCGCGCACCCAACGGCTCAACGGTGCAATGAACTCAGCGGCCTCGATTGCACCTGAACCGTCGGCGTCGATCATCTCAAACAGCTGCTGGAGATCCACCTTGTCCGCTTCAAGTCTAAATACGGCGTTGCCATGCCGGGAGGGGAGGAAATTATTTGGCCAGGTTGTTTTCCGTTGTTCTTCGCGTGCGTTTGGCAGCAGCAGAGGCAAGGACCTCGTCAATGTCCATCACTCGCAGGCGGCTCTGGAACTCGGCGTCTTTTCCTTACACACGTGTACTTTGTTGCTCTATGCATGGGTGAACCGGCTGTATACGGTATGCGCAACGCAACTTGCCTCAGCCGCCTTCCGTCTTTCACTGGTGCTGCCTGCTGCAAGATCTGGAATCAATCTGTGCCGGGCAGCTAGCTCCGTCCATCAAATTCTGCAACCTGCCAGGTAGGGGCATGCTGACAACTGACAGTCCGAAGCCTGAGAATGGCTTGATACTTTCTATTGTCGAGCCAAGCTTCGTAAGCTCTCCAGTCCCACTTTCGTCCAAGCGATCGAAAATTTTCTGCAAGTATTTCCGGTCGTTTTTGAGACTGTGCTCCAACCTGAGACTACAAGCAGGAGTCATTCACAGCAGGAATGGGATTGAGCTAGACGCCCATAGCCGGACTGCCTTGGAAGTCAGGCCCGGCAAGTCATAATAAGCATAGCCTGGACATGCCTTGACCCGTGGAGCCTTCGAACCCACTGGACCGAGCAAGCGCCACCTGAGGAAAATGGCCATGTCGCTGATTCGTTCTTTCCCACCCGATGCATTTCATGCTCTTCAAGCACATGCTGCACATCTTGTACTGTGGTGCAACCAAAACTAAGCGCATCAGCAGCAGCAACAGCAACAACAGCAACAGCGACAGC